GACTATTCTGTTGGTTCACTGGTCTCTCACTGCACAAGGGCCTGTAAGGGAAGAACTGTTTTCCTTTTCATTTCCAGCTTCTCACACTTCTGTTTTTACACTAGTGTCATCCTTTCTTCTCACCCTCAAATTCTGGAGTTTCCCTTCCTCACTGACTTTTATTGTCGTTTTAATTTTTTTTTACATGTTAGAGACAAAATGTAGTTCTGGCTGGCCTGGAACTTGCTGTGTAGACTTGAGCTCACAGAGATCTACTTGCTGCCACCACATAAGTGCTGGGACTACAGGTGTGCACCACTGTGCCCAGCTACCAACGATTTTATTATTTTGTCATTACAATGAGTGTGGATACTTGGCTCACCTTGTTTAGAGAAATTCTTCCTCTAGTACTGCAGGTTGAGTTTAGGGCCTTGTATATCCCTTGCGGTCCCTCTACCATGGAACTCAATCGGCAGCCCTCTTTCTACTTTATATTTTGAGAGATAGGGTCTCACTCATTTGGTAAGGCTAGCCATAAACTCATTCTGTAGTTAACACTGGCCTTGAATTTAGGATTCTTCTGCCTCAGCATCGTGTGTGTGTGTGTGTGTGTGTGTGTGTGTGTGTGTGTGTGTCTGTGTGTGTGTGTGTGTGTGAGAGAGAGAGAGAGAGAGAGAGAGAGAGAGAGAGAGAGAGAGAGAGAGAGAGAGAGAGGATTTGTGCGGGTGACAGAATAATAACCTTGGATGTCATTCCTCAAGACCTGTCTACCTTGTTATTTTGAGGCAAGGTCTCTCACTGGAGGTAGTTCTCATTCTTCCTCCTCAATACTGAAATTTCCAAGTATGCATCACCACACCACACCTTTTTTAAAAAGAAAATGTAGCTTCTGAGAGTTGAATTCAGGTCCTCATGCTTCTATGGCAAGCACTTCACTGACTGAGCCATTTCCTCAGCCTCTTAAGACTTAAAAAAAGATTTATTCTTATTATTTTAAATTATGTGTATCTATATGTGTTCACAGGTGCTCTTGGAAGCCATGCCAATTGTTGCCCTGGAGCTAGAGTCACAGGCAGTTGTGACCCACCTGACATGGGTGCTGGGAATAGAACTCAGGTCCTGTGTAACAGGAGTGCACACTCTTCACCACTGAGCTATCTCTCCAACCCCTTCTTAATATAAAAAAATCTATATTTATGTGTATGGATATTTTGCCCGCATGTATGTCTATTTACCCACATGAGTACCTGGTGTCTGTAGAGGCCAGACAAGGGTATTGAATCTCTTAGAACTGGAGTTACAGATACTTGTGAGTTGCCAAATAGGTCATGGGAATTGAACCTTGGTCGGTCCTATGGAAGAACATAGTACTCTTAACTGCTGAGGCATTTCTTCAGCCCCATAGGGTGTTTGGTTGTCTTTAATTGAGACAGGGTTCACTTATATAGTCCTGGCTGGCTTGCAACCTGTTATGTAGACCAGGCTAGTCTTGAATTTCGAGCCTCTGCTTCCTGAGTACTGTGATATAAAGGTGGTGTTACCATGCCTGGCTTTCTTAAAATTTATATGGCCTAAAATATGACCTATTCTTTAGAAAGTTCCATGGGCTGCTGAGAAGAATTTGTATGATACTTCTGTTCGGTAGACTGTCCTGTAGATGTCTATGTTTATTTTGTCCATTTTATCTGTATTGTAGTTTAAACTGGTTTCTTCACTATTTTTGCCTAGATGATATCTGTTGGTGGCAATGAGTTACTGGAGTTGCTCACTATGATTTTATCTGTACCTACTTGTCACTTTATGTTGATCATGACTGTTTTATGAAATTGGGTGTACCAATATGTGGTGCGTGTATATCTACTTTGTAATATTTTCTTGGTTTATTATTCTATTAGTGTGTGGTGAGGATCTTTCTTTTCTTTTCTTTGCTAGAGTTTGGACTCTGGGCCTTGTGTATGTCAGACAAGTAGTGTACTACTAAGCCATAACCCCATCCAGGGACCTTCTTTAGTTTTTCTCAATAATTTTGTTTTGAAGTCAGCTTTGTCATCTATGGGTGTAGCTAATTCCGTTTGCTTTGATTGTCATTTTTTGTTACTTTCCATTTAGTCTCAGTATGTCTTTGCTAGTGAGGCAAGTCATTTATTGATAACAGATGCTTAGATCTTGAGTGATGTTGTTCTTTTAATTCCATACAGCCAGTCTGTGGCCTTTTGCTAGTGACTTAATACCATTTACATGTAAGGTTGTTATTGAAAAGATATGTACTCTTCTGTCCTTTCCTTATCATAGTTTTTGCCTCATTAAAAGAGCTAATAATGTTTGATTCTTCTCACCTAATTCTTATTTACCTGCTCTATCAAGATTTATTCTTTTTTAAAAAGATTTATTTTTTTATGTATGTACTGTTCTGCCTGTATGCCTGCCTACAGGCCAGAAGAAGGCACCAGATCTTATTACAGATGGTTGTGAGCCATTATGTGGTTACTGGAAATTGAACTCAGAACCTCTGGAAGAGCAGTTAGTGCTCTTAACAGCTGAACTCTCTCTCCAACCCAAGATTTATTCTTTACTAAGGGCTCATGATCATGTATTTTTAAAACTTTTTTGTTATTTTAATTATGTATACTTGTATGCATTTATGTATGGTATGTGTTCATGATTGCAGGTGCCTTTGGGGGTTAAAGTTGAGGCAGGGGATCCCTCTGGAATTGGAGGTACAGGCAGTGGTGATCTACCTGATATAGGTGCTAGGACCTGACCTCAGGTTCTCTGTAAGAGTTTCAGCTTTGATGTAACCCACAGGTGATAGGACTCACTGCTCACTACGGAGGATGGGAGCACATTCTGTCCTCATCCTCCATGCCTCACATGTCCTTCCACTTAAAACTCAGTAGGTCTGTGTCTAACTTGCTCTCTCTATGTTAACTTTTCTTGTGGACATCTTCCATCCAGACACTGTGACAAGGTATCTCTAGGTGTCTTAGGTATCCCTATTCCTGAGCTTGTGATCCCCCCTTGTTTTCAGTTCTGTAGAATAGCTTTGTCAAGCATTGGGCCCCCTCTCAAGGTGATACCTGATTATTACACTCCAGCATTTGGGGAGTGATGCAGTGGACTGCTTTTCAAATGCTAGTCGGCCATGTAAGAACACTCAGTGTCACATCACATCTCCGTATTTGATTTAATGCTTGCAGGAGTGCCACTTAGTCGCCACTCCGGCTGCCTGGACTTTACTGCTTTTGTGTGGTTGCTAATTATCACCTTTCTCAGCCTCCTGATGGGGCTGCAGCTGTGGATTGTTCCGTAGGTCTCTTTGCCTCACCTTTCTGTATCTCTGTGATTTTAGTTTTTGCTTTATTTCACCTCTTTCTTGATTCTGTCACATTCTCTTTCTGTCCTTGAAATACAGATTCCACATTGCTGTCCTGACTTCTCACTTTGGGAGTCATATTGAAGGGAAGGTCTTAACTTGCCACCTTATTACTGAACTTTGCCTTCTTCAGGGCCTTTTCCTTTATGATTTTATTGTTTTCCTAACAGCTTTAGTGGGAAAATTCATATAATGTAAAAATCTTTAAAATATGCAATTATATCAGGTGGTTTCATAGATTTATGCCACCATCACTATTGTCTAAGCTGAGAACATTTAATTACCAAAAAGAAACTCCCTACTATTTAATAGTCACCCCATGACTGCCAATCCTCAGAACACTATAAAAACATTGCTCTCCTTTTGTCCATATAGATTTGTCTACTTTACATATTTTATCCAAATAGAATTGTAGTGTGGCCGTCTTCAGGGACTAGGTTTGTGTGCCTTCCTTCTTTCTCCTTCCTTCCCTCCTCTCTTTCTAAGCAAATACTCTGTCACTGAGCTACACCCTACACTCCAGTTTATCACTTCTTTCTATGGCCAAATAACAATTCCACTTGAGGAGTATACTGTATTTTTCATTTATCTGTTCATTGATTAATGAGCATTTGGATTATTTTATGCTTTTCAATAATGTGCTAGCTATTGCTGTGAGCATTGCCTTCTACACTTTTGCATGAATCTGTGTTTTCAGGCCAGGCAGTGGCGCACGCCTTTAATCCAAGCATTCTGGAGGCAGAGGCAGGTGGATCTCTGTGAGGTCAGGGCCAGCTTGGTCTACAGAGTGAGTTACAGAACAGGATAGCCAGGGCTAAACAGAGAAAACCTGTCTTGAAAACGACAACAGCAAAAGCAACAACAACAATAAAAGAAAATGTGCTTTCAGTTCTCTTGGGCAAATACTGATGTATGGAATTGGCAGGTACTCTGGTAATTTTATGTTTAATGTTTTGAGGAGATAGCAAATTGTTTACCATGTTTGTGTTCCATTTTATATATTTGTCAGCAGTGGAAGGGTTCCAATTTCCTCACATCTTTACCAATACTTACTATTTTACTTCAAAAGCACTACAGCCATCCCAGTAGGTGTAAAAGAAATGGCATGCCATTGTGGGTTTTTTTCTAGACAGGGATTCTCTGTGTAGCCATGGCTGTCCTGGAACAAGCTCTGTAGACCAAGCTGGTCTCAAATTTAGAGATCCACCTGCCTCTGCTTCCCAAGTGCTGGGATTAAAGGCATGAGCCACCACTACCTGACTGTCATTATGTATGGTTTTGATGTACATTTTTCTAATGACTGAATTCTTTATGATTTTCAAGTATGTGTGGGTTATTTCCTCACTCACTTCATGGTATCTTTTAAATTTCAAGTTTTTAATTATGGTGGAGTCCGACTCAATGTGTTTTATCTATTTTTCTTTTGTCTCTTGTGCTTTAGGTGTTATGAATGGTTTTATTTGTAGTACAGCATGTAGATTGGGGATTATAAACATCCTAGTGTTAGTCACTGATTTGAAAGGATGAACTATACATTTCTGAGTTTATTTTTTCTGGCAATTTCCACCACTGACCAATTTTTGTTCACTTTAAGATATATGCCACTCATAGTATTTCTCAGGTGTCTGGTATCACTTTGGTTTTGTAGGGTGTGGTCCCAACTGCTCAGCGTGCTGCCATCGTTGTGGGGGTAGAGCTGCCAGTTTATGATATTACCAAGAAGCACCTGATACTGTCAGGAATGCTGGGAGACACCATTTTAACACACTTTGTGTAAGTGAGCTATGTTTGATTCATTCTCTGTGTTCAACAGATTGAACATAAAAAGCCTGTTTTACTGATATCCTCAGGTGATTTATAGCTGATATGCATGGCCTTAATACTTGTCTCCTATGGACAATATTTAAAGCCTTCTGAATATTTTATACTTTTAAATTAATTGCTATTTATTAATTATATAAAATAGTGGGTTATATTCTGGAATTTCCTATTTTTCTCATTATTTGATTAGTGTATATTCATTAAAGATTATGTGTTTCAGTATGATATTTTCTTATATGTGTATTATATAATAACACAACATGCTCATATAACATGCATATGAAGTACTTTGATTATATTTTCCCCCACCCATTACCCACACTTACCCTCAGATGCTGTGGACACCTGGCCCGTTTGGGAGCTGTGCATAGTATAGAGATCTACTAAATGTTTGTATGATACTGTTTTGTTTTGTTTTTTCAAGACAGGGTTTCTCTGTATAATAGCCCTGGCTGTCCTAGAACCAGCTCTATAGACCAGGATGGCCTCAAACTCAGAGATCCTCCTGCTTCTGCCTCCTGGGATTAAAGATGTGTAACGCCATCACCTGGCTTGTATGCTATTCTTAGATAGCTTGTAGTTTATTTACTTTCTCTCTTTAGAGGAAAAGTCTCATATGTAGTGCTATATTACTTATGATTTATTAAAGCTTGACTGAGGGTTCAGAAAAGCATAGTCAGCCTCGAACTATAGAGATCAGGCAGTGGTGATACACACCTTTAGTTCTAGCAGCCAGAAGCTAGGGGATGGTAGTGCACACCTTTAATCCTAGGACTCAGGATTAAGAGGTAGATGGATTTCAGTCAAAGGCCACCCAGATCTACGTAAGATTGAGTCAGTCTAAAAGAGCATTATAGCTCACACCTTTAATTCCAGCACCAATGGGGTATAAAAGAAGGAGCAAGTAGTATGACACATTTATTCTCCAGCCACACTGAAAATAGGAACATTCATTCCTTATCCGTGCTGACGAGAGGCAACAGTCAGAGGCTTGGTGAGAGCTCATGGAGACAGGATCAGCCCTTTCAGTTTGAGGTAGAGTTAAGAAGCTAGTGACGAGCTGCTTTGCTTTTCTGAATCCTTAGTCAAGCTTTAATACATCATAAATAATATATCACTACATTCACATATCTCATACTGGCCCAGATTCACTGTGTTTCAAGGATTACTTTGAATTTCTGATTCTCCTGTCTTTACCTCCAGAGTGCTAGGATTACAGATGTGCAGTGTGTTACAGATGTGCACCTGTTTCTGCGGTGCTAGGGATCGATGCCAGGGCATCATGCTTGCTCGGCAAATACTGTGAAGTGAGCTGCAGCCCCAGTTTCATCAACCTGTATTTCTCATAAGCACATTGCTTTTCTTGCCCCTCCCTTATCAGAAGGGAGATTTCCTCTCAGTGGGACACAGGATAAAAGGATCAAATTTTGTAGAGTTTCTGAAGCGAAACGGTTTTTGACGAGGACTATTTCTGCTCTCATCTTACATTTTGTTTGTCATATAACCTCTATGATATTCTGCTACTTAAATGTATTTGGCATATGATGCTGTGCTCATAAAATTTTATGTAAGATTTCAATGGTACAGGACACCTCCTGCTTAGGGATGTTGTTAGGTCTATGGACTATCTCCTCTATAAAAGAGACCTAGTTTTAGAAGGAAAATGAAAGGGATAACCTTTTATTAGGAAGGATTTTCTTTCTCTTTAGATTATAATGAAGGGTTAGGGTTTTGTCTAATGGATCTGAGTAATTACACCTTTTGCATTTGGCCTAAATTCTGTTTAAGTGGGAAAGTGGTGGAAGTGGGGATAATCTACCTTCTTAAATTAGTTTTCACCTTTAGTTCTAGCTTTACCTGTGGTTTGGCTGGGGCTCTGGCATCTAACCCAGTTGACGTGGTAAGGACACGAATGATGAATCAGAGGGCAATAGTGGGACATGTGGACCTCTACAAGGGCACTTTGGATGGCATTTTAAAGGTATGTATACTGTGGATTTGGGTTACAGTTTCTGTTTTTCTTGATGTTTGGGATCTTTTTCAGTCTTTATTCTTCTTGCTGCATATTCTGTACTTTAAACAACCATTATGTGTATTTTTAGTAGCCTTTGAGAATGATTCAAAGGCAAATAACCTGTCTCCTAGGCAATTTGCTAATGCATAGTACTTCTTAATATTATTCCAATTTGAATGCTTCAAAATACAGGATACCTATATTAACAACACTATGTAGAATTATTTTTTTTGGTTTTTACGAGACAGGGTTTCTCTGTATTGTTTTGGAGGCTGTCGGTCCAGCCTGGCCTCGAAGTCACAGAGATCCGCCTGCCTCTGCCTCCCAAGTGCTGGGATTAAAGGCGTGCGCCACCACCGCCCAGCTATTATGTAGAATTATTATTATCAAGATTTAATATATTCAGGGTCATGGAAGGGGAAGTTGACAAGGGAGCAGGAGGGATGAAAATGACATAAATGAGTACTTATATATGAAATTCTATTTTTAATTAGGAGGCTGGAGAGATAGCTCATCAAAGGCCTTGTGTTCAATACCCGGCACCCACATGATACCTCACAACTGGATAATGGCAGGAGATCCAACACCCTCTTCTGGCCTTCATAGACAGACAAAACACCTATACACATAAAATTTTAAAAATTGATAGGATTTACTATATCCCATATTTGCCAACCTCAAATAAGAGAGAGACTCTGTAGTACAAATCCTGGTACTTAAGAAACCTTAAAACCCAATACTTGATTTAAGTTCCAGGTTGTTCTGTTGATCACATTTTGCTTTGAGTATTTCTGTTGGGGCTGACTATCATAAATGTATATAGAGGTATTGGTTACATTACTGCTATAAAAACAAATTCAGGGACAAAATGTAAGGGGCCATATGGTTTTTCTGCTGTTATCAGTTTCATTGAACAAACAGCTACTTGTTATTTATGGGGCAATATTTTAATAGCTACAGGGAAATTATAGCTATTACTAAAGTACTGGCAGTTACAAATAGATAATCAATATAGCCTAATAAATACTAAAACTCAGAAATCTATGGTAGGGAATTATAGCCCATATTTGGGACATTTGAAATAAGTTCTCTGGAGATGTTAGTAAATTGAATAATAACTCAATCTGTTGGATATTTTATTGTATGACAGGAGCTGTTCTAATGAGATTTACATGCATTTAGTCATTTAATCCTCCTCATTACCCCATGAGATAGATATTGAAGCACTGAGGGATCACCTTCCTTAGAGTTTCACAGTTAGTATGCTGCAGTAAACTCAGACCTTTTGGCTTAAGGAAACCAACTCAGTCAACTCATAGCCTGGGTTATCGATAGTTTTAGAATTTCACAAGTGGTTGTGTGTTCATCCAAGGTTGAAGACCACTAATCTAAGGGGATAAGGGTGGGACAGTGAGTGGGACTTCTAAGTTGGACATGTTTCAGAATTACCTAAATTAATTCAGCATATCAGAAATGGGATCTGAGAATTTATGTTTCCTGGAATCTCCCAGGTAGTACTCATTCAGATGAGTCTTGGAACTGTTAGAGCATCATAATATTTTTGTGTGCGTGCATTTATATTCAACAAAACTTTAATGTTCCAAGAGATATGAGGGGTGGGATATAGAAGTGAACAAGGCAAACACTGTTCATCCCTATTTAAAGTTATATTGTAGTTGAGAGAGATAGGCAAATAATTTTAGATAGAAGTAAACACTATGAAGAAAATAACAGCATATTGAAATAGCAACTTGGTAGTCTGAATTCCTTCAGCTAAGGTGCGTAAGAAAAACTTGTGGATAATTTGGATGATGGGAAGGAGTTGGCCACATGAAAATCTTGAGAAAACCATTTCATAAAGAAAGAGAAGATTATAAAGGGCCTGATTTGAAATGAATTTGATATATTAGAGTTAAAATAAGTATTGTGTGCCTGAGTATGGTGAATGAATGAGAAAATAGTAGAGTGAAACTGTAGAATGGAATGGAGTCTAAATCATGTAGAAACCTGTAGACCGTTGCAGAGAATTTACAATTAGAATGAAAGCCACTTGAGAACTTTTAAGTAGGAAGGTAATATGTATGGTCTGATTTACAATTCTTAAAGATTGATTTTAGTTTGTAGGCGGAGATCTTAGATCATTTGGGATTTTATTGTTATTGAGACAATGATAATTAGATTATCTCTGTGGTCTCTTATCATTTAATTATATATTTTTAGGTTATCTGCATTTGGCTTTATTTTGAGTAATTTTCATAATTAAAACATGAATTTGGGCTTGACTCCTTCAGAATTTGCTGGCGGTCCATTGGTAGAATACATATTATCTGTGGCTGCCCATCAGTAGTGTTATTACTATATCATTATTTGTCTTCCCCATCTCAACTGGTGAATAAGGACTCCTATTCCTAGGTTCTTAATTTGCAGGATGAGGAAAAAAAGATATTTTTAAATCTGGCTGTGAGTATCATCTTATCAAAATGTGTTCATTTCTTAAAACAATGGTAAAATTCATTTCACTAATGAAAAAGCAGAAATGAATTTTTATATTTTTCAGTATCTGACAATACACCTAACATATTATCACTACTTAATAGATATTTGTCTATTATATAAACTACCTTTTGGCAGAATTTAGCATATGACATCAGCTTTTGACCTTTAGTCTGTCATCCAGTTCTTGAGACCATATGGTGCATATAGAGGCCTCCTACTATCTAAATCAGGGTACCACAATGCAAAGCAGTTCATGTTGTTCCCCACACATAGTCCTCAGAGCATTCATATGAAATTTACCATCAGGTCATAACAATTTTGAAAGTAGAAAATGGAGTCAGAGAAGGAAAGTGACTTTCTTTATTTTTTATTTTTTATTTTATTTATTTATTTATTTTGATTTTTACGAGACAGGGTTTCTCTGTATTGTTTTGGAGGCTGTTGTTCCAGCCTGGCCTCGAAGTCACAGAGATCCGCCTGCCTCTGCCTCCCGAGTGCTGGGATTAAAGGCATGCGCCACCACCGCCCGGGCGGAAAGTGACTTTCTTTAGTCCTTATTACCTTCCTTGGTTTTCTTCATCCCTTTTATCATTTCTGGATAACAATGTTTTAATATGCTAATATCTACCAATATCTGTCTGTCTATAACAATGTCTATTTGCTTGTCCACACTAGAACATACATTCTATAGGGGCACAGACTGTATAAGCTGTATACTGCTATGTAACAAATTACTCTAAAACTCAGGGTTTTAAAAGAACAGTTATTCTTTTCCAGTTTGGGGGGATCAGGTATTGAAAAGCATCCTTGTTGAATGATTCTAGAATAAGACTTCTTAAGAAGCTGTATGTCAGCCAGGGCTTCAGTCATCAAGGCTTGACTGGGGCTATCATATCTGCTTCAATGATGACTTGTCGGTGTTAGTTAAATGCTTCAGTTCCCTATGATGTAGACCTCTCTTCATGCTAAGATAGCTAGTTTCCTTCAGAATGAATAATTCAAGAAAGGAGGAGGAGTTAGATCAAATGCCTTTTATAACCTAGCAGTGTTCATTTCTGCTGTTCTTCCAGTGACTCACAATACTCCTGATATGTTATGATGTGAGGACTACATAAGTCATAAACGACTGGTGATAGGGTCCTTTAGGTGTGCTGTCACTTTATGTAACTATCTCTAGTTACTGCAGATATACTGCCCATGTAATTAGTATTCACAATTTCATCACATATACTCATATAATGTTCTTGGATCAATTATCCTGCATTATCCTCTCTTATTCCTGTCCCTCTCCCTCAAAACTCCCTTCTGCTACCCAACAACTCCTATTTCTTGTCTTTTTTGTTTGTTTGTGATGCACTACATTTAGTTAGGGTACGAAATGACAGACTCTAGAGATCCCCCATGGAGGGCCTTACCCTCCCTGGGGAATGGAATGGGGATTGGGTGGGGGAGCTGGGGAGGTTGGTGGGGGGGGAGCTGGCATGGAGGGGAGGGAGAGGGAGCTGGGAGTGACATGGGAAGCAAGCTCGTTTCTAATTTAAATATATGATAAAAAGTGTTTCAAAAAAAGAAGTATTTGTTGTGTATGTTGAATACTCAGTAAATAATTGTTGAATAATGATTTGATGGATTTAGAGTACAAATTATTTAGACTATAAAGTTTATCTTCAGAAAAGAGGACATTCATAATAGCCAAAGTTTATGTGGGCATGGAAAGTAGTTGTTAAATGTAAAAAGAAAGGGAAATTCACTATTTTTGGTTATATCTTTACCTCAGATGTGGAAACATGAGGGCTTTTTTGCCCTCTATAAAGGATTTTGGCCAAACTGGCTTCGACTTGGACCCTGGAACATCATTGTATCCTTTTAGAAATTGAGAATGGAAGCCAGTGCTTCAAAGTCCAAGGTAATTGTAGGTTGTGGGAAGATAATTTTGATTATTAAATCCTTAATAGGCAAGTAACAAACTCAAGCATCCCATTGGAAACCAGTGTGAATGGAACCAAGTGGAGAAACACTTTCCCGTGGGGGCAAATACACACTTAAAGGCACAGAAAAGATGTTCCAAATGTTCCTCTTTAAATCAAAATGTCTAGGATGACTCAGTGTGCAAAGGTGCTCGCCCCCATACTCGGTGACCTGAGTTTAGATGGAAGGAGAAATTGGCTCCTATAAGTTGTACTCTGAACTACACACACACACACACACACACACACACACACACACACACACACACACACACACACCATGGCAAGTGCATGCCCTCCCCAGCAAATAATAAACAAAAAGCCAAACAAATGTATAAGCAAATAAATGTAATAAAGTAAAACGTCTTGCACAGCTAGTCTTAAAAGGGCTATGAAGTTTTTAGCAACAGTGACAGAAGATGCTCATCGGAAATGCCATGCTGTTGGGGTCTAGATTTCTTAACATCTAACTAAGAGACCTAAATAGCTGGAAAATCCTAGCAGGACACAAAACATTCACAGAGTGAAAGAATCCACAGCCAAGTAGGACTCTTTATCGTGGGGACATTTTCTCTCCTTCAGCTGTGCTGGAGTGCCTCCTATGTATAGAGCCATGTGCGGGACACTGTGTGTGGTTCTGTGTGTTTGCATATGAACTCAGCAGGGTTGAAAAATAATTCCCTGTCCTTCTAGAATCTGTAGGCTGAACATAGAGAATATCTCTCTTTGGAATTGTGTTTGTTCTGTTTGCTTTTGAAAACTATATTATAATCTGTTTTCATTGTTCAGTGCACTGATCATAATAGATACATAGTAGGCACTCAACACATTTTATCTTAAGTTTATGAAGCCAGTCCCTTTTAGAATAAGTGCATTAATTTAAGAGAATGCAATGTATAATTTTCAAAACAAGTTTAACTTTCAATATGAACTCAGAAATCTTCCGTGACTCATTTTTCAGTTTTTTATTACATACGAGCAGCTCAAGAGGCTTCAAATCTAAGAACTGAAAATCTAAGCCCAGTCCTGCCACCCTTTCTACTGTTCTCCTGTGTGTTCCTAATGTATTTTGACAAAGTTGTATGTGTTTACAGAACCAGTGGTCTCCCAGGGGCGTCTGACTGAAGAGTAGTAGGATGACTTAAGGCTGTTTATGCATTTGTGTTACCTCTTCCCTAAGAGGAAGTATTAACATTGAGAGTGTGACCCCAGATTGGTGTCTTCTGTGAAGATGGATACTGATGGGTGACATTCAAAAGGGCCTTCTTTTCACATGTGGGTTAAATGTAGTTGGTTATCCCCAGACAGGCTACAGCAGATGGCTACCAACACAGTTACTGCTATGTATGCTAGAGACCTTGGTTATCATTAAAGTATTTATTGGCCGAATTGTTTTGACTTTGTGTTCATTTACTCTCTTTTTTCTTAACTATAAGTTGCATCTCTAGAAAGTGAAAAAGAGAAAGTGACTATGAAATCGAGACTAGACTCTTAAAATACATTTATGGGACTAGAATAAGTACATTGTGTTTTTGCAAGGTCATTTGTCAGCATAATGCCACCTGCTTTGAAACATCAGACCAGTGGTTCTTTCCAGAATATGAAACAAGTAAGCAAGTAGATCATTTGGAAGGTTCTACAGATAAAATGCTAACCAAGGTTTACAATATGGCCCTGTGCTCTGAGTTAAGGTCTTCATAATTATCCACTCGTGCATTTATTCACATGTTATGTGCTTTTTATTTCCTGGATGCTGGGGATATAAAGAATGAGTCTGTCTCTGTTTTTAATCTCATGTTATAGTAGAAACTGGTTTGAAAGTAAACCATAATAGTAGCTTCTAAGTACTATGAGAAGGATAATCAAAGACCTGCAGGAGGATGGAGGAGAAGAGCTTTACTTAGAGGCTTTGCCAAAGCTTCATAGTGGAGTTGACATTTAAGCTGAGTCAAAGGAAGAGTGGATGTTACCATTTGGATAAGGCCTTATACATCTTGACAAGTGTTTAACAACATACATCTGCCTTTAGAGAATCATAAAGAATGGTTTATTGCCCTAAAAATCCTCCTAGCCCTTAGCAACCAAGACTTTTACTGTCTCAATGGTAATGCCTTTTCCAGAGTAACATAATTGGAATTGTATAGTGTTCTTTTGCATGGGCTTCTTTCACTTAGTGATGTTAGTTTAAGTGTCCTCTATGTCTTTTAGAGATTTATTTATTTTTATTTTATGTACATGAGTGTTTTTCCTGCATTTATGTATATGTCCCACCTGTGTGCTCCTTGGAAGCCAAGAAAGGATGTTGGATCTCCTGGAACTGGAGTTACAGAAGATTGTGAACTGCCACATGGGTTCTGAGAACTGTAGCATCGTCTACAAGAGCAACAAGTGTTCTTGACCACTGAGCTGTCTCTTTGTCCCTGTTCTATATCTCTTAATGGCTGTATATCTCATTGTGGTTTAGTGCTATGTTAGATAACATTTTGCCACTGTGACAGAATATCAAAGAAATATAAAGGGGAAAAGCATTATTTTGGCTCATGGTTTGAGAAGTTTCAGTTCAATTAGGTGAAATGACCATACTTTGGGGACTGTGGCAGAAAACCATCATAGAAGAAAGCTATCAGCTTTGTAGTTTTCAGGAAGCAAGGAGAAAGAGATGAAGGGGCCTGTGTACCAATATAGCCTTCAAGGATGTACCTCCAATGACCTATGTCTGGCAATTAGGCCATACCTATCATTTCTCACTACATCCCAGTGGTACCATCAGCCAATGACCAATCCCTCAACACAGACCAATCATCTGTCCACAACAGTTTATCCATCCGCCTACTAAACGACATTTTGTTGTTTTCTAGTTTGCACAATAATAAAAGAGTGATAAACATTTGTGTGTAGGATTTTATATAGGTGTAACATTTCAGTTTGCTTATGAAAATGTCAGGGAGCCGAATTCAGAATGGTATGAGAATGTTTAATCGTACAAGAAGTTGCCAAGCTGTCTTCCATAGTGGCTGTGCAATTTTGCATTCCCAGCAGCAATGAACAAGAGTTACTGTGGCTCTACATCCTTTCTGGATTTGCTGGTGTCATCGTTTTCACAACTTCTGGTAGGTGTATAGTAGTTTCTCCTTGTTTGTTTGGTTATCATTTTAACAATTTGCATTTGGTATTTTGTAAACTTGTTTTCGAGACCTTAGTACATGAGTACCATATCTACCTTAGTACATGAGTACCATATCTACATCATTCCCACTCCTTCCCCTCACTCTGACTTCTCCTGTGCCCCCATTCATGGCCTCTTTATTACTTACATCCCTCAATAGCAATTTTAAGTGATTTCCTCTCTCCTAATGTCATTACCTTTCCTTGTGAAAATTTCTTACACTGTATCACAGTTTACAACTTTATATTTTATTTGTGTGACCATTCAACTAACATCCTTATTCCTGTTCAGACTGTAATCTCTGTAAAAAAAAAAAAAAGGAATTGCCAGGTGGTGGTGACGCACACCTTTAGTCCCAGCACTCAGGAGGCAAAGGCAGGCGGATCTCTGTGAGTTCGAGACCAACCTGGTCTAGAGTGAGTTCCAGGACAGCCAGGGCTGTTACACAGAGAAACCCTGTCTAGAAAAACAAAACAAAAAACAAACAAAATGGAAAGGAATTGTATTGACTGCTGGATTCTTTTTTTTCATATTTTTTATTTAACTGACTGCTGGATTCTTAATGTCTAGCAAAATTACACATGGCAAATATTTGTCAATTGAATGAGTGAATTTATCTGTAGCTAAAGTATCAGATAAAATACCTAAATATAGTGAAGGTTCAGAAGGTACTATAGTATGTATTAATTTAAAAATTGAATGATAGGCCGGGTGGTGGTGGCGCATGCCTTTAATCCCAGCACTCAGGAGGCAGAGGCAGGTGGATCTCTGTGAGTTCGAGGACGGGCTGGACCGACAGCCTCCAAAACAATACAGAGAAATGCTGTCTCATAAAAAAAAAGAATGACCAGACAAATGATTTATGATAAGGATTACTTCAAACTGGAGCCAATAGAAGGGGAAGTACTGCCATGGTTTTAAGTTCTGTCTATATACTGATGATTTCCAGATGGACATCTCCAGCCTCTGCCTTTCCCATGACCTGCATACTAGTTGTGTGTGTCTGTGTGTGTGTGTGTGTGTGCGTGTGTAAGAGAGAGAGATACTTCAATGATTTATTATGTGCTAGATACTGTTGTAAGTATAATGTATTTATAAAACGAATTCCTTAAAATCACCCTGTGAGGCAGGTACTAGTCTCATCTTTTCACATTAGAAATTGGCACATAGGAAAGTGAAGCATTTTGCTCATCGAAAGTAGCAAATGCTAACCAAAGTCTAGCTCATGAGCTCATACTTTTTATGACTATTGGAGAGATATACTGACTGCCGGGCGGTGGTGGCGCACGCCTTTAATCCTAGCACTCGGGAGGCAGAGGCAGGCGGATCTTTGTGAGTTCGAGGCCAGGCTGGACCGACAGCCTCCAAAACAATACAGAGAAACCCTGTCTCGTAAAACCAAAAAAAAAAAAAAAAAAAAAAAGATATACTGACTTACCTGATAGGAGTCCCTTAAAGTTTATAGCAGGTGAGCTCTAAAAAATACTGATTCCATTAATTTGTGGATCTTCACAGTATCATAAGAGAAAGGAGGTCAGTAGTATTTGTATGGCTCTTTGACACTAACTGTGATACTGCATTTAGATGGTTTTCTTGGAGACCTTGACTGTGTCTATATCATTTCCCCTTTATTTTCCACTTCCTACTGCTTTGCATTTTTTTCAGCCCCTCTTTTCCATTACCTTCAATGTTATCCTATCCCTCCTTCTTCCAGTCAAATTCAGCAAAGTTCACAGCAGGTAACACTACAGGGTTCAGAAAGATGTTTAGAGTGTGGATTTATTGGGATTGATATGTAAAATAAGATTATTTCTAATTTAAATAAAAATAAAAGTACAAAGCATTCAAGGAAAAAAAGAAGGTGGAGCTATTAGAATCGATGAGATGTTGGAATTTTAAATTTTTACATGAGGTTAGACTTGTAGCCTTCTCTTCCAATGTAAAGTTTTATTTATCTCTGTCTGTCTGTCTATCTACTATTTATTGTTTTCGTGACAGGGTTTCTCTATAGTCCTGGCTATCCCGGAACTTGCTCTGTAGACCTGGCTGGTCTCAAATGCACAGAGATCCACCTGCCTCTGCCTCCTGAGTACTGGGATTAAAGGTGTGTGCCACCACTACCAAGGGGTGTAAAGTTATATTTTGTAATAACCAAATTCATAGGACAAATGGTTAAGCTATTCTGTACCTGTTCATAAAGAATTCTGTTCGTTAAGATTTTAATCACTTCAGTTTTCCTTTAGTAGTGTAAGCTAACATTAAGAAGCTGCCTTCCTCAGGTGGATCTCTGTGAGTTCAAGACCAGCCTGGTCTACAAGAGCTAGTTCCAGGACAGCCTCCAAAGCCACAGAGAAACCCTGTCTTGGGGGAAAAAAAAGAAGCTGCCTTCCTGAGGCTGGATGTGGTGGTCCACATTTTTAATTCCTGGAGTGAGGCTATCTTTGTGAGTTCCAGACCAGTCTGATCTACATAGTTCAAGGACAGTCTGATCTACATTGACTCTGTCTCAAACAAACCAACTTCAGCTGCAGGAGATACAGCGCCCTCTTCTGGCCTCTGCTGGTATTTTGCATGTAGGCAAAGCAGTCATACACATAAAATTAAAAATATTTTAAAAGATTCACTTTTTTTCAGAGAAAAAAGGATCTTCTTCATTAGAATGGCTGTTCCCCAATAATGATACATTCTAAACTTTTAATCTAAACGTTGCAAAGGATGCTTCCCTTTATTCACTGTCTTAGCATCAGACTCCAGTTGTTTTTGGAGCTGTGCCTTATTCATTG